CAGATGGGCAAACATGATGCTGTGATCCAAATCGGTAAATAATTTATGGGTGTTTTTTTCTTCTCTTGGACAGATTGTTATTTTTTTATATGTGTAATGAAACAGTCTAACTGCAGCAGCTGCTCTGTTAACTTCGTGGTCATTGGAGCCTTTTTTGTACATCTGTTATGTTAACTTCGTGTTCAATGGAGCCTTTTTTGTACATTTGTTCTGTTAACTTCGTGTTCAATGGAACCTTTTTGTACATCTGTTCTGTTAACTTCATGTTCAATGGAACCTTTTTGTATAGCTGTTCTGTTAACTTCGTGTTCAATGGAGCCTTTTTTGTACATCTGTTATGTTAACGTCGTGTTCAATGGAGCCTTTTTTGTACATCTATTCTGTTAACTTCGTGTTCAATGGAGCCTTTTTTGTACATCTGTTATGTTAACTTCGTGTTCAGTGGAGCCTTTTTTGTACATCCGTTCTGTTAACTTCGTGTTCAATGGAACCTTTTTGTACATCTGTTCTGTTAACTTCGTGTTCAATGGAGCATTTTTGTACATCTGTTCTGTTAACTTCGTGTTCAATGGAGCCTTTTTGTACATCTGTTCTGTTAACTTCGTGTTCAATGGAACATTTTTTGTACATCTGTTCTGTTAAATTTATGTTCAATTGAGCCTTTTTTTGTACATCTGTTCTGTTAAATTTGTGTTCAATGGAACCTTTTTTGTACATCTGTTCTGTTAACTTCGTGTTCAATGGAACCTTTTTTGTACATCTGTTCTGTTAATTTATGTTCAATGGAACCTTTTTTTGTACATATGTTCTGTTAACTTCGTGTTCAATGGAGCCTTTTTTGTACATCTGTTATGTTAACTTCGTGTTCAATGGAGCCTTTTTGTACATCTGTTCTGTTAGCTTCGTGTTCAATGGAGCCTTTTTTGTACATCTGTTCTGTTAAATTTGTGTTCAATGGAACCTTTTTGTACATCGGTTCTGTTAACTTCGTGTTCAATGGAGTCTTTTTTGTACATCTGTTCTGTTAATTTATGTTCAATGGAGCCTTTTTGTACATCTGTTCTGTTAATTTATGTTCAATGGAGCCTTTTTGTACATCTGTTCAGTTAATTTATGTTCAATGTAGCCTTTTTTGAACATCTGTTCTGTTAATTTATGTTCAATGGAGCCCTTTTTGTACATCTGTTCTGTTAATTTATGTTCAATGGAGCCTTTTTGTACATCGGTTCTGTTAATTTATGTTCAATGGAGCCTTTTTTGTACATCTGTTCTATTAATTTATGTTCAATGGAGCCTTTTTGTACATCTGTTCTGTTAATTTATGTTCAATGGAGCCTTTTTTGTACATCTGTTCTGTTAATTTATGTTCAATGGAGCCTTTTTGTACATCTGTTCTGTTAACTTCGTATTCAATGGAGCCTTTTTGTACATCTGTTCTGTTAACTTCGTGTTCAATGGAGCCTTTTTTGTACATCTGTTCTGTTAACTTCGTGTTCAATGGAACCTTTTTTGTACATCTGTTCTGTTAACTTCGTGTTCAATGGAGCCTTTTTTGTACATCTGTTATGTTAACTTCGTGTTCAATGGAACCTTTTTTGTACATCTGTTCTGTTAACTTCGTGTTCAATGGAACCTTTTTTGTACATCTGTTCTGTTAACTTCGTGTTCAATGGAGCCTTTTTTGTACATCTGTTCTGTTAATTTATGTTCAATGGAACCTTTTTTTGTACATATGTTCTGTTAATTTATGTTCAATGGAACCTTTTTTGTACATCTGTTCTGTTAACTTCGTGTTCAATGGAGCCTTTTTGTACATCTGTTCTGTTAACTTCGTATTCAATGGAGCCTTTTTGTACATCTGTTCTGTTAACTTCGTGTTCAATGGAGCCTTTTTTGTACATCTGTTCTGTTAATTTATGTTCAATGGAACCTTTTTTTGTACATCTGTTATGTTAACTTCGTGTTCAATGGAACCTTTTTTGTACACCTGTTCTGTTAACTTCGTGTTCAATGGAGCCTTTTTGTACATCTGTTCTGTTAACTTCGTGTTCAATGGAACCTTTTTTGTACATCTGTTCTGTTAAATTTATGTTCAATGGAGCCTTTTTTTGTACATCTGTTATGTTAACTTCGTGTTCAATGGAGCCTTTTTTGTACATCTGTTATGTTAACTTCGTGTTCAGTGGAGCCTTTTTTGTACATCTGTTCTGTTAACTTCGTGTTCAATGGAACCTTTTTTGTACATCTGTTCTGTTAACTTCGTGTTCAATGGAGCATTTTTGTACATCTGTTCTGTTAACTTCGTGTTCAATGGAGCCTTTTTGTACATCTGTTCTGTTAACTTCGTGTTCAATGGAACATTTTTTGTACATCTGTTCTGTTAAATTTATGTTCAATTGAGCCTTTTTTTGTACATCTGTTCTGTTAAATTTGTGTTCAATGGAACCTTTTTTGTACATCTGTTCTGTTAACTTCGTGTTCAATGGAACCTTTTTTGTACATCTGTTCTGTTAATTTATGTTCAATGGAACCTTTTTTTGTACATATGTTCTGTTAACTTCGTGTTCAATGGAGCCTTTTTTGTACATCTGTTCTGTTAACTTCGTGTTCAATGGAGCCTTTTTGTATAGCTGTGCTGTTAACTTCGTGTTCAATGGAATCTTTTTGTACATCTGTTATGTTAACTTCGTGTTCAATGGAACCTTTTTGTACATCTGTTCTGTTAACTTCGTGTTCAATGGAACCTTTTTGTATAGCTGTGCTGTTAACTTCGTGTTCAATGGAACCTTTTTGTACATCTGTTCTGTTAACTTCGTCAATGGAACCTTTTTTGTACATCTGTTATGTTAACTTCGTGTTCAATGGAACCTTTTTGTATAGCTGTGCTGTTAACTTCGTGTTCAATGGAACCTTTTTGTACATCTGTTCTGTTAACTTCGTGTTCAATGGAACCTTTTTGTATAGCTGTGCTGTTAACTTCGTGTTCAATGGAGCCTCTGTGTACCGATCTTTCGCCTTTTATTCCCGTGTTTAAGATGAGGAGCAGATGTTATCAGGGATCATTACAAGAAAAATAAAGAATAATCGCTATTCTGTATGACATGGGGTTGTGTCATCTCAGCCTCCATTCATTGATTTATTGTGTCATGCCCGACTTGTGCTTGAGGACATTGCCAGAGAATGCAACTCACCTTTAGCAGCCATTTCTGTGGAGTCTGTCAAGTCTAAGTGAGCAGATTTCCTTCTATCAGCCATTTCTGTGGAGTCTGTCAAGTCTAAGTGAGCAGATTTCCTTCTATTAGCCATTTCTGTGGAGTCTGTCAAGTCTAAGTGAGCAGATTTCCTTCTATTAGCCATTTCTGTGGAGTCTGTCAAGTCTAAGTGAGCAGATTTCCTTCTATCAGCCATTTCTGTGGAGTCTGTCAAGTCTAAGTGAGCAGATTTCCTTCTATTAGCCATTTCTGTGGAGTCTGTCAAGTCTAAGTGAGCAGATTTCCTTCTATCAGCCATTTCTGTGGAGTCTGTCAAGTCTAAGTGAGCAGATTTCCTTATATTAGCCATTTCTGTGAAATCTGTTAAATCTCTATTTCTCTAATTCCTTCTAATTTTCTGTGCCAGATTATTTTTGAGCGCTCCCGCTAAAAAAAAATTATATTCCTACTGGTGCTGTCTTTAGTGCTGTCCCTGGTGCTGTCCGTAGAATGGGATCAGGGAGTCTACAATCTACAGTCATTAAATTGTCATCTCAAGCCACGCGACTGAGCTGTTGTGTTTTTTTTTTTTTGCGCTGGGTGTCACGCTCGACTGGCATCTAAGTTCTTATGTAGAAAACTTCTTTGAGCAAACTTTACTGTTGATACTTGGAAATAACATGGTATGGAAAACAAGAAGACGTCATAATTTATAACATATGATAAGGTTTTTTTAGGTAATGCTTTTATGAACCTAGCACCGATTTCTTTGTCATCTCACCATCTGCCACTCAGACTAAGACACAACATTTAGTAACCGTAGCAAAAGGCATTGTATGTCACACTCTGGCAATGTCCCCCCCCCCCCCCCCCATTTTCATGACTTAGGTTTTCATGGAAATGATCTCTACGGAGCTAGCATTTTAAGCTCGTTTTTTTTTTCCTTTCTCTTTGTTACTTGCTCGCTAGAGGGCTGATGCATAGTTGATGACGTCATATTACTTGCTCGCTAGAAGGCTGATGCATAGTTGAGGACGTCATATTACTTGCTCGCTAGAAGGCTGATGCATAGTTGAGGACGTCAAATAAACAACGATAATATGAAAGGCAGTGGGTCTCAAACTCTCGACCCGCGAGCTATTTGCGGCCCGCAAGACGATATATTTCGGGCCAGGTACCGCACAAAATGGGGGTTAATTAATCTTCAGTGCAATTCTGAACTCAAGGCTCCACCTTCCCTAGGATTTTCAGGTTGTTCAAGGGGATCATGTGACTTTCTGTGAGTACCTATCTGTGTGAAAAGCTCTTTTCCACAGTGCATTTTGACAATTCAAAGTTCAGGGACAAATTTACTGATGAGCGTCTTCAAGCTATACGGAGGGTTTCAGGTGCTTCCTTACTCAAGCCAAATGTTGATCTGCCGCTTAAGAAAAAACGCTGCCAGGTATCTGGAAACAAGGAGTAGGAGTGAGAACCGTTCATGTTTATTTTTTGTTTGTTAGGGTTGTTTTGTGTTTTTTTTTGTTTGTTTGTTATTAATAGAGGTTGAGCACATTGTATCAGTTGTACTTTATTGAATTTTTAATCACTTTTTGTGGAATACTTGATGCGGCCCAGTCTTACTCGGACTCTACTCCCTGCGGCCACCAGATAGTTTGAGTTTGAAACCTTTGATTTCAGGTGAAGATAATATATATTTATATGAGGTAAATGTTATTTCTACAGAAGAAAAAATTCTTATTGTGTTACAACGTACAAGTCCCTTAGCCAAATGTGAAAATCAATTTGACAATTTATTTTTATTTTTTTATATAAAAAAGAAGATGGACATCGTGTATCTTGCCACTCATTAATCAAAAATATAAATACTACATTACTCTAAAAATGCTACATTACTCCAAAAGTGCTACATTTCTCTAAAATTGTTACATTACGCTAAGAGGGCTACATTCCTCTAAGAGTGCTACATTACTCTAAAAGTGCTACATTGCTTTAAAGTGAGAATTTGACGCCACAGTAGCAGAGACTATGAACAAGGTGACCCTTCCGGTTTATCCCAGGTTGTGAAGTTGAACATTATGATCTGACCATTGCTCGGCACATAACTGGACACGCCTGGAACAGCGTTTTAAACAGTTCAATAGGTCATGAGATACATGTTCTAGAAGCTTAACAGTATATGTTCTAAAAGCCTAATATTACATGTTCTAAAATCCTAACAGTATATGTTCTAAATGCCTAACACTATATGTTCTAAAACCCTAATATTATATGTTCTAAAAGCCTAACATTATGTTTTCTAAAAACCTAGCATTTTATGTTCTAAAAACATAACATTATATGTTCTAAAAGCCTAACATTATATGTTTTAAAGGCCTAATATTATGTGTTCTAAAAACCTATCATTATATGTTCTAAAAACCTAACATTATATGTTCTAAAAACCGAACATTATATGTTCTAAAAGCCTTACATTATATATTCTACAAAACTAACATTATATGTTCTAAAGCCTCACATTATATGCTCTAAATACCCAACATTATATGCTAGTTTTAAATACAAATAATTAATGTCGGAATTTGCGCAAATCGGTTATTACGTTTCGGAAATCGATTTTACGCCAAATTTAACATTTGCTTTGTCATTTGTTTAGTGCATCGAGGGGAACTTGGCATCCTTTTTATAAGACGGAAGTGTCATTTATAATTATATATACAATTTTAGAAGTGTCAATGGACCTTTAGTATTTCTATGAACAGTCAATGGACCGCTAATATTACTATTTGGTCGTTAATTATTTTGAAAGTAATTTAAATGTTTTTAGTTAAATAATAATGTTTAAAAAATCGTTGAATTTAAAAGAATTATCTGAGTGTATCTGGTTAATTTTCCTTTAATATTACACAAAAATGATTATCGTTATGTTTAAAGTTATGTGAAAATTAGCAAGCGGTTTCCGGAAATGCCATCATTCTTTAACATCCCCGGTTAAAATCCAAGACGCCACTTCCAACACTTACATTGTTAAGGCATTTATTTCTTGTAAATTCTAAATTACAACAGTGAAAGAAAAAAATGCATAACTTAATTTACAACGTTAGTCCCATTGCAATTTTTAAATTATTTTTTTAAATGAATAAAACAAAACAATGTATATGCCTGTCCTTGTTTACAAAGTTTTTCGTCCGAATAAAAGAAAGGATAAGAATGAGTTTCAACAATCAAAAGTTTGTAAATCAGTGAGTGCCCACCTTTGGGTAGTGGAGTGTCTGTACCCACGTCCATAATGCACCAATAAGTCTTGTCCTCTACTGATCCACCCAGGCCATTGAAGCGCTCGATGGAATAACCCAGTTCTGCTCCGAAGTATGAGCTGCCAAATCTGGGCGATTCAAAGGGGCGTTTAAGAAAGGGAACACAAATAATACATATTACGACAAATGTTGTTGTTGTTTTTTCATTAAAAATCGCCTTCATCTTCAATTTTTTTCCAAGTAAAACCGACTTATTTATTTGTATTAAAACTCTAACAGCATGGTTCTTAATTATCAGACCTTTAAATATTCAACCCCCCCCCCCCCACACACACACACACATCCCCACTCCAAAATTGTTACCGAAATTAAAATGTAAAATCTGTTTAAAAGTTAAGATTAAAACAGAGCTCTAAAAAAAATGTGACAACAATTTTTTTATAAATTGATGGTTTAAATTAGTTGACATTTTCTGTAGTATATCGTTAACTAGTCTACCTCCAAATCTTATCAGCATCAGCAGCCCTCTCTAAGTAATACAGCAATCGTTGACCCTCTCTGTACTGCACTTTGGTGGAAAATTCAAAGTGATTATCCACGGTGAATTGGTTTCTTATAATTATCTCGACAAAGCCATGGCCCTGTCCTGGGCTATCGTTTTGTGGGCAGTCAGCACAAGAAGCCATTCTTTTTGTGCGTGCTAATATCAATAATAAAATCTGATTGGGTTGAGTACATTGAATTGAGTACACAAGATGCTTGGACAGTTCTATGGGTTACTAATTTAATAAATACCAGAAAGTGTGGGGGCGGGGGGGGGGAGGCCTAACGAGTTATGAATACTATATTTATCTATAACAGTGGTTCTTAACCTTTTTGGAGTACTGAACCCCACCAGTTTCATATGCGCATTCACCGAACCATTCTTAATAGGAAAAATAAAATATGATTTTTTTTTTTCTGATTTTTTTTTTCTGATTTTTTTTTTTGATTTTTTTTTTGGCCTCCGCCCCACTCCTTAGACCGACTCACCCAACCCCTGGGGTTCGATCCAACCCAGGTTAAGAACCTACCAGTTTCATTTGCGCATTTATCGAACCATTCTTAATAGGAAAAATAAAATATGATTTTTTTTTTTTCTGATTTTTTTTTTCTGATTTTTTTTTCTGATTTTTTTTTTGGGCCTCCGCCCAACTCCTGAGACTGACTCACCGAACCCCTGGGGTTCGATCGAACCCAGGTTAAGAACCACTGATCTATAAGGACTAAACGTTCTCCGTACCTTTGGCTTCTGTTTACCTGGATGGGAGGTCATGATTTATGTGTTCATGTGGATTAATCAGTTATGTGTACACGTGGATTAATCAGTTATGTGTACATGTGGATTGATCAGTTATGTGTACATGTGGATTGATCGGTAATGTGTACACGTGGATTAATCAGCTATGTGTTTTGTGGATTAATCAGTTATGTGTATTTGTGGATTAATCAGTTATCTGTACTTGTGGATTAATCAGTAATGTGTACTTGGGATTAATCAGTTATGTGTACTTGGGGATTAATTAGTTATGTGTACTTGCGGATTAATAAGTTATTTGTACTTGTGGATCAATCAGTTATGTGTACTTGTGGATTAATCCGTAATGTGTACGTGTGGATTAATCAGTAATGTGTACTTGGGGATTAATCAGTTATGTGTACTTGGGGATTAATAAGTTATGTGTACTTGGGGATTAATTAGGTATGTGTACTTGCGGATTAATAAGTTATTTGTACTTGTGGATCAATCAGTTATGTGTACGTGTGGATTAATCAGTAATGTGTTCTTGGGGATTAATCAGTAATGTGTGCTTGTGGATTTATCAGCTATGTCTACTTGTGCATTAATCAGTTATGTGTACTTGTAGATTAATCTGTTATGTGTACGTGTTGATCAATCATTTATGTGTACTTGTGGATTAATCAGTGATGTGTACTTGGTTTTTTTTTTTACGATGCACGTTTGGTATTTGAACGAATTATTACCTAATTCACCCATGAAAACAGATCCATCGATGACGTATATTATAAATAGGTAATAAATAGATTGCCATATTTATATTTTCAATTCTTTTATATAATAAGTCGAAGAAAGGAGAATGTGCTGACCTTATCAAGCATGCCAAAAAGCCTTACTAAAGACCAAAAATAGAAGCAAATCGATCAATGCTAAGATAAAACGAAACATAAAGGGCTAAATGTATTAGTCATACTTTTGACCCTAGTGCAGAAAGGAAAGTGTGTAAGCAATAAACCAAGCAATGACATTATGTTTTTTTATAGCTCCAGGTGACGTCACGCTACAGCAGTGGCGTAGCGAAGCGAGACATTGGGTTTGCCGCCAAGCCCCACCCCCCGCCCCCCGAAAAACAACGTATTGTGCGTTTGCCATGCGAAACCTGGAAATTATGGGGCTTCCGGGGCCCCAGCCCGGGCACCTACGTGCTCATCGTTAAGTCTACGGGGCTTACGGGGCCCCAGCCCGGGGCTACTAAATGTTCAATCGTTAAGTCTACGGGGCTTACGGGCCCCAGCCCGGGGCTACTAAATGTTCAATCGTTAAGTCTACGGGGCTTACGGGGCCCCAGCCCGGGCTACTAAATGTTCAATCGTTAAGTCTACGGGGCTTACGGGCCCCAGCCCGGGGCTACTAAATGTTCAATCGGGCGCACTCCAACCACTATCTCCTATGACATCTACGTGTTCCTAAGTTGACTGCACCCAGGGCCCCATGCGCCTTAATCCGACAATGCATCATACTAAGGAACAATTCAATTGCAAACACATGATAAATTTCAAAGTTTATGACCGCAGGGGAAGCTAGTAATTTAAGTGTTTAACAGAGTTACTGAACTTATCACAAAATAAACTATACTTACAATTATGTATACAATCACAATGGCCGCATTTAAAGAGACTTTTTTTTTATAAAGTCTAGCTTGCTTAAACGGCGGATTCTCCTCTGTCCTAACTTCTCTTATGACCTAACCTCTCCTGCACCCTAACTTCTCCTATGACCTAACTTCTCCTATGACCTAACCTCTCCTGCACCCTAACTTCTCCTATGACCTAACCTCTCCTATGACCTAACTTCTCCTATGACCTAACCTCTCCTGCACCCTAACTTCTCCTATGACCTAACTTCTCCTATGACCTAACTTCTCCTATGACCTAACCTCTCCTGCAACCTAACTGCTCCTATGACCTTACCTCTCCTGCACCCTAACTTCTCCTATGACCTAACCTCTCCTGCACCCTAACCTCTCCTGCACCCTAACTTCTCCTATGACCTAAACTCTCCTATGACCTAACCTCTCCTGCACCCTAACCTCTCCTGCACCCTAACTTCTCCTATGACCTAACCTCTCCTATGACCTAACCTCTCCTGCACCCTAACCTCTCCTCCTGCACCCTAACTTCTCCTATGACCTAACCTCTCCTATGACCTAACCTCTCCTGCACCCTAACTTCTCCTGAGCCCTAACTTTAAGTGGTATGTCTCGTTAAGAAAAAAAGTTTTAATTTATTTTAACCAATTAACGAAAAAAAAAAACTACTTTTTTACCTTTGATCATAGGCCTGGTGATCATTTCACGCTACTGCGGAGTAACAAATTTATTCGTATTGTGACGCATATCAAAACTGTATAAACAATTTGTTACTGAAATGAAAACGGCCAACTCGACTCGGTACGAAGATCAAAATTATCACCGTGCCACAGAAATCACGAAGTATTTTTTTTTTCAAACCTTATTTGTACGTATGTTAATGGTGAAATTACAGTTTAAATTTTAAAAAAAACTAAATGGTAACAAATGTTAGACATACCCTAATGCAGCGAGACGAGAAGATGAATTTGTGAAAGGGATCACTACGGAAGAAATGATCGTGTATCTGAGGTTAAATGTTTCCTTATCAAAGAACGTATGTGAATACCAGGAAAAAACTACTTCAGTACCTGGAAAAATGCCAGTCACTACAACAGATAAGGACAACATAAAAGAGGCCCTGTTACACGGGTAGGTATCGAACTACTTATAATAATTTAGCTCTGTTTTTAACCCGTTATCTACCAGTGTTCCTTTCCGTAGTACAGCTACATATATGCACATATCTGTCACACCGAAGCAACCACGTGATCCGGGGTACATTCATAGCAGACCTTAGGGTGTGTGTCACAACACTTCATCGAAGGCGGCCATGTACCATGTAGCGTGTGGGCGCCAGGTTGTGCTTTGTGTCATCTGAGGCAGCTTCTGACGTTCCCTACATGCGACGGCGAGTCAGGACATGTTGTGCTAGTTGACCGGGACGGTGAGATTGACGCAATGGAAGTCAACTATCTTCATATCTGTATTGCTCACTTGTATTCTAATCAAACTTGCATAGACATTATGTTGCGACATTTCCCATTGTTCTGTGAATAGGACATTGGGATGATGTCATGCATATAGTGCCCATATATAAAGTGCACCTTATTAATATTTTTTTTGCGAAGTGAGACATGCCAAGAAGTGCATCACCCTGGAAGAGGTGTCACAGCTTCTGGAAGAGTGCGAGGAAGAATAATCGGAAGCTACTTTCTGTGTTCTGCCGCTAAATACCACTACATTGTCAGACAAAGACGAAGGGGGTGAGAACGTTACCAATGCAGGAAATGTAATTGTTGCTGATGTTCCTAGAGAGCTAGAAGTCGAAATAGATGGAGAAGAAATGAAAGACGACACATTGTTTGAAAATGAGGGGGATGATGATGAACCGGAAGAGAATCAACCATCAACACGTTCTGACGAAACGGCCTAGGAAGAAGAAACGCCCTTGTCCTGCGCCATCCTGGATATAGCAGAAGAATCCAGTCTTCCCAAAGAAATCTGCTCTGAATGGACATGACGCCGATTAGATGACCGTGAACTATTATGGGAGAAATAGCCTGAAACAATTTACAAAGTGAAAGCCCATCAGATTTGGGTATAAATATTGGGCCAAATGCTCCAGCGAAGGATACTGTTACACCTTCTCATTGTATTTTGGAAAGGAAACAAATGCAGCAGATGTCCGACGTGGTTCCCGTGTTGTCTTGAATGCTGTACAACATATTACTGATCCAAGAAGCTATGCTCTGCATTTTGATAACTTCTTTACAAACGTGGTTCTGCTCTCTCTACAGACAGATACAGGATTTCAAGCAACCGCTACCATTAGAGAAAACAGAATAAATAGGACATGTCCAACGAAATCATCAAAAGAGATGAAGAAATCAGATCATGGTGCCAGCGAGTATGTTTACGAAAGAACGTCAGAGGCACTTCTCGTGCGTTGGCACGACAATAATATTGTAACAGTTGCCATTAATCACGACTCTCTCTTACCGCTTCATAGTGTCAAGCGATGTGTAAAAGACCAGAAGGATAAAAGCACGGTGAAAATGCCCAACTTGATATCTAATTACAATGGGTACATGGGTGGTGTTGACCATCATGACTGGCATGTTTAAAAATACTGTGTTTCCAAACGCTGAAAGAAATGGCACTGACCCCTGTTTATTCGAAGCATTGACACGGCAGTAGTGAACGCATGGATTCTGCACAAAAGTATCCTTGGTGGAAATGTCATATCACTGAAGGATTTCATACGAGCAATTGCCACAGTTCATTTGAAGATCACTATACAACGCAAATATGCAGGAAGACCCAGGGCGCCTAGTCTGCTATCAGGAGCTGACATGCTTCGACAAGATGGCCTTGGACATTTTTCAATGAAAATGTATAAATAACGTCGCTGTCAGCGTAAAGGATGCAAAAAATGAAGCCCAAAACACATTGCAGCCAGTGCAACACAACACTTTGACGTACTTGCTTTCATAATACGTCGTGTTGGCATTTGACTATGATTCCTCTTATGTTAGGTCCTATCTTGTAAGGTCACAGTTGTGGAATGCCCCCCCCCCACGCGGCCCTTCGATTAACTTAAAAGAAAAAAGGATTATAATTATGGCATTTGTTGCAGATTTTTATCGTATTTGAAAAATAATTAGATAAGTATTTTTTACACATGTTTTGAACAGGTTATTAAATTTGATCTAGAATGTTCAAGAAAGTTCTAAATTGCTCCAAAGGGATACATAGTGGGATCTAAGGGAATATTGAAATGTTAGTTCGTTCTAGTTATTTATATCCTGTCCCGGAGTTTACTGTTCTCTCAGTGACACGGAGTAATTTTTTTTGATTGGGATAGAAACAAAGGGGTCGGGATCCCATCATAATCTTTATCCCAAAGGGATCAGGATCCCACCAGAAAACGGGATCTCACTGGAATCGGGATCCTAACCCTTGAATGGTTCCACCGGAATCGGGATCACGCCGGGAAAGGGGACTGCGCCGAGATCAGTGTCAGTATGAGATCGGCGTCAAAATGGGATCGGGGGTCCCACCAGGATGGGGTCCTAATGTAATCCCGGGCCACGCCGGGTATATAGGCTAGTATCATATATATATATAAGTGAATGTTTGTGGCCGGCGGGCGGGCAGTGTTTGTTCCACATACGTTTGTACATGGATTGATGGATCCTAACCAAACTTGGCATATATATCCATCATGATCCAGAATGAACTCTTAAGTGGTTATGAACTTTTTATAACATTTCGTTTGGGGCCGGGGACCCTGAATTCATTTTTTCCCCTTATATGAGCTATATAAATAAAATGACCAACAAATACTCCTCCATGAATAGATGGATCTTGTCCAAACTTTGTACACATACACCTCCATACTAAAATACCGAAGGGTACTGAACTCATAATATCCATTTCTCTGGGGCCGGGGGCCCCAGTTCATTTGTCCTTATGAAAGCTATATGAATATCAATAGGCTTAGACAACGGTATAGGTTCAATGTGAATTTATGGATCCAAAAAATAATTACTTAGAAAATTATTGTTTACACGTTTCGAGGAAGTTATTAAATTTAATCTAGAATGTTCCAGAAATTTCTATATAGGTCTACGGGTATTTTTAAAGGGATATAAAATATTGTAGTAACTTTAATGAGATCCAGCAGTAAATTGAATCCAAGGGTAATGCGATCCAATCGGGTAAAGCATCAACCCGGGATCGGGATCCTATCAGGAAATTGGATAATATCAGAGAAGAGGATCCCACTGTGAAACGGGATACTAGAGGGATCGGCATGCTATCGGAAAACTCAAACCTATCGAGTTCGGTACCCCACTGGTATCGGGATCCGACCGCTATCAGGATCCCAATAGTATCGGGATCCCACACTATTTTAAAATCGTTCAAAATATTTCCAAGTATTTCATTATGGTTTAAAGTCTTTCTGAATATTTTGAAATGGCTCAAAATCATTCAAAATATTTTAAGTGGTTCAAAATCTTTTTAATATTTCCAAATAGTTCAAAATCTTTCCGAATATTTCCAAATGGTTCAAAATCTATCAAACATTTCCAAATGGTTCAAAATCTTTCCAAGAATGTTTAAATGGTTCAAAATCTTTCCAAGAATGTTTAAATGGTTCAAAATGTTTCCAAATATTTCCAAATGGTTCATAATTGTTCAAAATGTTTCCAAATGGTCCAAATTTATTTCAAATATCTCCAAATCGTTCAAAATCATTCAAAAAATTTCCAAATAGTTTAAATTTTTTCCAAATATTTCCAAATGATTCAAAATATTTCAAAGTATTTCCAAATGGTTCAAAATGGTTCAACATATTTCCAAATATTTCCAAATGGTTCACAATCGTTTCAAATATTTCAAAAAGATTCAAAATGTTTCCAAATATTTACAAATGGTTCAAAATGTATCAAACATACTTTAAAATCTTTCAAAATCTTTCCAAGTATTTCAAAATGGTTTAGAATCTTTATGGATAATTCGAAATTGTTCAAAATCATTCAAAATAATTTCAAATGGTTCAAAATTTTTCGAAATATTTCCAAATTATTCAAAATCTTTCCAGGTATTTCCAAATGGTTCAAAATATTTCAAAGCGTTTCCAAATGGTTTAAAATATTTCAAAATATTTCAAAATATATCCAAATGGATAAAAATATGTAAAAAAATTTCCAAATGGTTCCAAATCTTTAAAAATATTTCCAATTTGTTCAAAATCTTTCAACAGATTACAAAATGGCTCAAAATCTTCCCAAACATTTCAAAATATTTCAAAATCTTTCCAAATATTTCAAAATGGTTCAAAATAGTTCAATATATTACAAAATATTTCAAAATATTTCAAAGTATTTCCAAACGGTTAAAATCTTTCAAAATATTTCCAGATAGTCCAAATTTACTTCAAATATCTCCAAATCGTTCAATTAAAATTATTTCCAAATGGTTCCAAATCTTTCAACAGATTACAAAATGGTTCAAAATCTTCCCAAATATTTCAAAATGGTTCAAATGGTTTAAAATCTTTCCAAATATTTCAAAATGGTTCAAAATAGTTCAAAATATTACCAAATATCTCAAAATATTTCAAAGTATTTCCAAAGGGTTCAAAATATTTTAAAAGATTTCCAAATAGTTAAAAATGTATCAAAATCTTTACAAATAATTCCAAATGGTTCTAAATCTTTCCAAATATTACCAAATGGTTTAAAATCTTTCCAAGAATTTCCAAATGGTTCAAAATCTATTAAAGTATTTCAAAATGGTTCAAATTTGTTTCAAAAATCTCAAAATCATTTAAAATATTTCCAAAAAGTTCAAAATATTTCCAAATATTTCCAAAGGGTTCAAAATATTTCCAAATAGTTCCAAAAGAATCAAAATATTTCCAAATATTTCCAAGTATTTCCAAACATTCAAAATCTTTCAAAGTATTTCCAGATGGTCCTAATTTGTTTCAAATATCTCCAAATCGTTCAAAATATTTAAAAATATTTCCAAATGGTTACAAATCTTTCAAAATATTTCCAAATGGTTCAAAATTGTCCCAAACTGTGGTGATCTGACTTATGACTTATTAGAGAGGAGGGTCTCTCGTATGAGATCTCCTCTTGGCACTCTGTCTAGGGATATGTTATTTAAGCCGAATAACCACACGGACATAACACCTATCTATATACATATAGTATAGACTGAAACGAAGTCCTAGTTAAAGGTGAAATTAACTACAAATATTTATTACACAATAATATTTACAACTTCCTAC